ATTGCTAGTAAAATACACCGTTATTCTATTCCAGGGTTAACATTGTGGAAAGAAGATTATATCACATTTTATGTCAGAATAGGCCTGCGGTCAAAAAATAAATATTTTGAAAATAAATAAGTATTTTCTCCCTTTGCTTGTATAGATGTGTAAATTGCACATAAAGAAAGTCCAGTTCTCAGCAACTCTGGCTCAAAGAATCTCAGCAAATTGAAAAACTGTAGAAAGCCCTGGATTACAAGTGTGGGGGCAGTTGCTGGTTGGAACAGACAGTGTAGGGTTAAATAAATGAAAGGGGCAAACTGAGTAAGAGTGACATGTGGGGAATTTTAAAAAATCAAAACTTTTGTTTCTATGAAAATATATTCTTTTTAATTCGGTAAAAGTCATTGATGTCCTTACTGATTACTCAGGAAGTTTGTTAATCAGGCACCCTTTTCTGAGTTTCTGAGATTGTACTGGGTATTATCTAGCATCTTCATCGCTGGAAGAGCTAAAAATTGGTTTTCTTAAGAGGAGTGCTGTGTTCAGTACCATGTTGCATGTTTTGTTTTCTGCAGAAATCTAGGTCTGCAAAGCATCTTCAGCACATCAGGTTCGATGGAAGACTTCTTGCAGAGCTTTTATCTGGCTACAGGTTGCATGACTCGGATGGTTTACTGGACATTTATGAAGTTGAAAGAGAAATACACCTATTTTTGTGTGCTGAATATTGATTGAATGGTTATTTGGCAAAAGCTGGATTTGTTTATCATAGAGTCACTGTGAGCCAAAGAGATATAGTGGTTACTTGGACTTTGTATATGCTGGTTATCTATTGTAGTGGAGTGTCTGTGAAGTGCTGTTTTCCTTTTGCAAATATTGTTTGTGCTGGAGCCAGGATTGGGAGATATTGCTGATAGCAGGAAGGTAAAACTGGAGACGAAGGAGGATTTGGGTTTCCATTCATTCTTGCCCTGTTTTTAACAGTCTGCTCATTTTGTAAGGGCATTCCCTACACAATCCTGTCCTCCTCAGATCACTTTGACAGCTCCTAGGTTGATTTTTAAAAAAGGCACATGTTTTGGTGCTGTATTTCCTGACACAGACAGATAGGATGGATCTCTGGTTTTCAAACACGCCATCTCTTTTCAAAACTGAATAGAGGTGAATCTTCTGAAACAAGGTGCCTTTGCCTGACTGATCAGATGGACAAACATCAGTCCGTCTTTCCCCAACCAGGCGCTGTGCCTATGGCTCCCAGAGGTCTCAGCTGGAAATTCAGGAACCCTGACATATCTCGGGCCTATGAGGTTGGGGAAGACTGGTATATTTCAGTAGAAGCACTGAAATGATCAAGAAGCTAAAAACCAGTGCATTGCAGAGTTATGCAAAATTGCAGCTAGAAGAGGAGGATGTAGTTAATGTTTAACTGAGAATTGGATTAATGAAATGCTTGTAATTGTGGAAGTATGTTTTATTTTTATAAATACAATGGTCCAATATCACCCTTAATTCATATTTGGCAGAAGGAGAGGGCACCACCATCCTGAAGGTGGGAACCCTTCTTTTTTTTGCAGGACTTTGAAAGGAAATGGACAAGCTGGGGTTTTTTAAACCCAGCCAAACCAGATACCCTTCAAATGAACTGGACTACAGCTTCCATCATTCCAGCTCTGGAGGGTCCCAGGCTGAGAAAGGCTGTTCCTCCTCTGTCTCTTTTGGGGCAGGCTGATTCTTTTCTTCCCTCCCCCAAGGAAAGGGATTAGGTTACAAGGCTCTGGTAACAATTCCAACCTGTTTGTCCTGGAATGTGGCATTTAGGGCCTTGACACAGGAAATTCAGTCTCTGTTGAAAGCTAGAATTGCAAACACTTTTATGCTTTGCCTGGGTTGGGGGTGGTGGTAGAAAATGCAGGTGGAAAAATGCAGCTTGGGCTGAAAGAGCTCTGCCCAGGCACTGTGGGTCATGACGAGGGCAAGAGGCATGGACTTTAGGGCTAAAAATCTTTGAACATTTGCTTCTTCCCAGGGAACTTCATCATACAGAAGTAATGTTGAGTTAGGGTTTTCATTATAATAAGGATTACCCGAACTCCAGCCAGCTCATTGCTTCTGCTATCCCAACTCATTCTAAGTCTGGACAAGCCATGTATCCCCAGTATTGGTTGATTTCTCCCTGAAATATGTTTGTGCTCTCCTGCCCTAAAATGCTGAATGTGGACCAGGAACATGGAAATTCCAGACTGTCTTCAGCCTTGATGAGGCCTTTAGCAAGTGACTTTTTCTTCTTTTTTAATTTTCTTATCTGTACATTGAAATGAGAACAGCGTGAACTCCAAAAGAACAGTGACTCCACTGAAGTTGGGTTCCTGTATCAAGCAAAGCCATCGCGTGGTTGGATTGATGTTGGTTTAGTGTAATGTATGAACCCAGCCATTTAGTTTGAAATCCATGGTTTATGGCTTGGGAGGCAGGAGCAAACCCTTTTCAGTACTTTTTCCTGTCAATGATTACAGGAAACGTGGCAAGGATATCACTAGAGGGGATAAAGCTGGAATTTGGAGGATCTGTTTTGTGAGTTCTTGAGGTTTGGTGTTTTTATTTCTTTTGTTTTACTAAAATAGCTATATTAAACTTAACGAGAGGGCTGAGCAGCCTACTTTGGATTACAGATCATACCAATGTAATTCCTTTGGCCATTTGAAGACTCTGGGGGAGCTCTATGTGACTCCATGTTCACGCTGTTTCCATGCTGAAATGTAGACTATCCAAGCAGGCAGGTTTCGTATGGCTGGCTAGTTTGTGGCTCAGAGAATGAGCATACCCATATGGCATCGCCAGAGCTAAATAACTGTGGTTACTTTGCTGGTTAAAGGCCGTAATAAAATTGATCTTGAGTAACTATGGTGTGAAGGACTAGAGCATAATTAATTAGATGAGTGAAAGTGTATCTCCGTGGCATCATTTTTTGTTGATGTGTTATTAAGCAAATTACTCATGTACCTGTTGATAAAGCGGGCTCTAGCTCTCTCATATCCATCCTGCAACTAATCTATTAGTTTTTTAGGTGCCAGAAAATGTTTTTTAGAGTTATGGCTTTTGTGCTATGTCTAGAAATAGAACAAAACATTTAAAGCGTATTATAAATGAAAACTATATATTTTTTATTTGCCATGGGTATACCTCTGTCCATCTGATTGGTCTGCTGTTCAGGTTTGAGTTGTCTCCCTCGCATTTTTGTGACTTCTTTCTGCTTTCCAAATTTTCTTTTTCTTCTGCCTCCCCACCAAGTCAGCACCAGTCATTTCTTTCATGGATTGGGGCAGATTTTCTCATTCAGTTGCAGCACAGCACAGGATAATCTCTGTGGGGTTGGGTCCTGTACAAGTGCCAACGAAGATCAAACCTGGGGTGGCTGATGATAATTGAAGTAGCAGCTTTTGCTGAACATGCTTCTTCCCAAATCAGTTGAAGAGCTGGCATGTTATAGTGATTTTGTTGGACTGAAGATACCCAACATGGTTCAACCCACTATGAAGCCATGAAGTTTTATTGAGGGATTTTGGACTAGGCATGATTTCTCCACCTAACTTCCCTCACAAGAGAAAATTGAAGAGAGTACTAAGAATGTTGCCTTGAGTTCTTGAAGGTAGAATGGCAGAGATGAAGCTTTCTATATAATTGTGGGGTCTTAATGATGGAGTCACACACATACACACAAACACCCAATCCATGATCCCCTGCCAGGAGGAATATATAACAGTGTGAGAAGAGTCCTGCTAGATCAGGCCATAGAACCATCTAGTTTAGCCTTCTGTGTTATGCAATAGCCAATTGGATGCATTTGGGACGCTCACAAGGTTAGACTCCCCATTGCTTCACAGCAACCAGGGGACCTGCCTATTGTTCAAGAGTAATTAGCAGCCATCACTCTTAGTAGCCATTGGTATCTTGATCTTCCATGAACTTGTCCAGTTCCCTCTAAAAATGGACCAAATTGGCTGCTATTGCTACAGCTGCTGGTAGGCAGATTCCATTATTTAACTAGGTGTTATGTAAAAAGTATATATTTATTTCTGCTGATCCTGAATCCTCTTGCATTTAGTTTTACTGATGACACTGTATTTGAACTTTATGAGAAAAACTTCTCTCTACCCATGTTATCTATGCCATACTTTATTTGAGTTCACTTTATTATATACCTGCCCCTAACCCTTCTTTATTTCAAACAGAAGAGCCCCACCTACTGTCATTTTTCCTCGTAGTGGAGCTATTGCAGCCCCCTAATCATTTTGGTTGCCCTGTTTCATACCTTTTTTCTTAATTCTGTAATAGCCTTCTTAAGGTGTAGTGATCAAAACTACATAATCCTCAAAGTATGGTGTCTCCATAGATTTGTATAAGAGCATTATTATACCAGAAGTTCTATTTTCAGTTTACTTCCAATTATTCAAGCATCAGATTGGACTATTTGACAGTAGCTAAGCACCAGGTTGACATTTCATTGAGGAATTCACTGTGACTCCAAGATTCCTTTCCTGCTAGCTCAGATGCCACTAATGTTTAGCCCCAAAGCAGAAGGAGTCTGATAACATGTATAGGTAAATGTTGGCTTTTTTTGTACCAACATGCATCATTCAATGCATCCAGGTGGATTTGAGAAGAAAATCCCATTTGTCACAGGATCCTATTGTCACTCACCTTTTCTTAGTTGTCCAGTGCCTTCTGGCCAAGTAGAAACAGATGCAATTCCATGCTCTGTGCTAAAAGGAAGAGAAGAGACAGAGCCATGTCTGTAACAACAACTTCTTCCAAGTTGTAATTGTTCTATTCTCTTTGATTGTCCTGTTCTGTTCCCCTTAAGTTTTGGACTAGGAGTTTTGATTTTTATCCGTTTTTCTAATTAGGATTTTTTTTTAAAAAAAATCCTGTTTTGCCACTACTTGCACTCTCTTTCTGACCCACGCCTTGTAAAAAATCAAAATCTCTCTCTCATGTGTTCTTCTTTCCCTCTACAGCGGTGGAGACCCAGAGTACAAGTTCTGAGGAGATGGTGCCCAGCTCCCCTTCTCCACCCCCACCCCCACGTGTCTACAAGCCTTGTTTTGTCTGCAATGACAAGTCCTCTGGCTACCATTATGGGGTCAGCTCCTGCGAGGGCTGCAAGGTAAGCGAAGGGAACGTCCTGGACTGCCATCTGCTTTCCAATTTCTGAGGCTGGGGGTTGCGTTTCCCAACCGCCTGCCCCCATAGCCTCCACAGTACACAGCCTGAGCTCAGGCAGGCATCATCACTCCGGCCTCTGTTCAGCTAGGAGGGTGTGGTTGGCTACTTCACCCAGACCTCCTTCCTCTGCCAAAGAATGTTACAGCAGGGAATTCCAAGTTGCTGCATGCCAACACCCAAAGCAGATTATGCAAGCAAGACGAAATGTGCAAAACAAGCAAATGTACGTTAACGTGCATCCTTCACTCCAGTGGTGGAACCTAGAGTTGCTGGCTGCAGAAATTCCACCTATATTTTTAGTACAGAAATCCACAAGGCCTTTGAATAATATTAAAGAGTTGAGCCAGAGCCGTTGAAGGCCACCCAGATTTTCTGACCAGCCAAGGGCTTCTGAGGTCAGTGGCTGGATTGTAAGGGTACACTTAACATATCTGCATGATTCCAGGCAGAAACTGGATGTCCTCCCAGATGTGCTGGATTTCAGTTTTCAGCCAGCAGGAGTATTGGCACTTTTTTTTGTTTTTTTGTGCCTTCGAGTCAGTGTTGACTTCTGGTGACTGCCTGGACTAGTCCCTGCGGTTTTTTTGGCAAGATTTCAGAAGTGGTTTGCCCTTGCCTGCTTCCCAGGGCTGAGAGAGAGCGACTGGCCCAAGGTCCCCCAGCTGGTTTCCTGCCTAAGGCAGGACTGGAACTCACGGCCTCCCGGATTCTAGCCTGGTGCCTTAACCATTACACCAGACTGGCTCTCCAATACTGGCACTGGAACTGGCTAATTATATTTGTCCTTTTTTGTTGGAACTATTTGCATCGATCAGTTCCCAGGCATGGTCTCTAGGATCCTAATAATTAGCAACTGTATTATTCTCTAGTGTTATCTCAGTAATAAATATTTGGCATTGCTTCTCTAAAATAGGTTAGAATGACCATCCCTATACCGCAGATTGATCCAAGGGAAAGTAGCTTGCCTAAAGTCATCCAATTATGTAACATAGCTAAGGAGATACTTGGACTCAGAACTTCCTGGATTCATGCCTTTTAGCTCCTACATCAGTCTTCTCCAACCTAGTACCCTTCAGAAGCTTTGGACTACCATTCTCATGAACTCCAATACTTCTTCATGCTGGCTGGGACCAATGGGAGTTGTATTCTGAGGCATATGAAAGGGTCTGAATCAAGGAAAACCGCTTTCTTATAAAAGAACACTGTAGCACTAGGAGAAGTTTCTCCCACCTGAGCACCTTGGGGAGGTGATGGAAGAATGGCTAATAATCTGGCCTACCATAAGACAGCTGGTTGCATTGTTATATATCATAATGCATGGGCATCCCAAGGTTTTAATCAAATAGTGGGCCATAAGGCTTGTGCTGGTAAGAAACAAGATGTTCCTTCCAAGTGTTGCTGAATCACAACACCCACAAGTTTCAACCAGCCAGGCCAAAGAAAAGGCATTGGGAATTGTAGTTCAAAACATCCAGAGGGTATCAGGTAGCCTTTACCCTATACTAAATAAACTTCTTTAAACAGCAGTCCCAAGAGAAACAGTGACTGGTTGCTCTTGTTGGGCTAAGCCTGAATGTGTTTGATTTTGGGAGACTGTTCTGTGTGTTTGCAACCATTGTGGTTGGTGAACCATGTTTACACTTTAATGCATTGTAAGGATCCAGTCAATTACTGTAGTCAGTTCATTCAGCTGAACTTGGTTGAAGCAAGCCATAGTTTAGGATTGTGTGAGAACACAGCCAATGTGAACACAGTGCCAGCTTGAGAAGCTTGCTTGAAACTATCTCCATGCCATCCTTCCACCTCAATCCTCCTGGTCACTTGTAACTCTTCTCTCTATGATTTTTAGGGTTTCTTTCGCCGAAGTATTCAGAAAAACATGGTCTACACCTGCCACCGGGACAAGAACTGTCAGATTAACAAGGTTACTCGCAACCGCTGCCAGTATTGTCGCTTACAGAAGTGCTTTGAGGTTGGCATGTCCAAAGAAGGTGAGTCCTTCCATCAGCATTTGAATGGCCGATCCCTTTTAAAGGATCTTGGGACCTCCATATCTGTAGAATGGTCAAATCCCAGAATTTGCAGACACCACAGGGAACCAGCCAGACTGGGGAAGGCTGGTTTATATCTTCTGGGGGCTGGTAGAAAGCTAATGTCAAAGGGGTGACCCCTGTTAAATATTGCTGGGGTGCACATCACATAGGTGTGAGCTGGAAAAAGCCTGAGAAGGAGACCCAGCAAGGCTAACTGCAAGCAACAGCCCTGAAAATATGAGGCTACTGTATGTTCATAGTTGTGAAACAAATAGCTTTTGAGAAGGGGGTCTAAAAGTGTAAAGGGAAGCAGCACCATCACGTCTGTTCTTGGAGCCAAACAGTGCACATAAGAGACAAAAAAGGAAAGTTAAAAGTATACAAAGTGCCCTGTTGCTGCTCATCAGACCAACGGCTTCTCCAGTCCAACATCCTTTTTCCTGCCATGGCTATCCAGATGCCAGTTGGAAACCTGCAGATCGGAAGCCCATAAATGATAGCAAAGGAGACTGGGATGGATCAAGAAAGAAAAGAAAGTGGGGAGGATATGGGCCTTTAGAGGAATCGCTATGCATTACTTGATAATGATCTGGCCACAGGGCACGTCTGCTTTGAAAGCCTATATACAGGGACTGTACTTAATTGCTTTATATGCCCCTGTTGTCGACATTTCATAAATATGTCTTTAAATATGTACTGATAGGACCTAAACAGATTTTTCATGTTCCCTCAGGACACGGACATAAACTGTTTAACTCTGTATGACGGATACAAGTGTGTCCAATGGCAAACCGTATCTGTATGCACACACAGACAGACACAACTGGAAGTGCACATTTATTCCATATATTCCACAGCCTAAAACCACATTACTTTAAAGAACAGCTTGTGCATATGATTCTCCTGCAGTTCCCTCCACTAGCCCGCATTGCTTTACACCCTATGAAAAGGATACCCAATTTTTATGCCTATTACCAAAGCCTGTGTTGCTGTGATACGGTCATAGATGCACCTAGGAGAATTCACACAAATCTTACCCAGGGATCTTTGGTTTCTGCAGACCCCTGGGTAGCCATCTGCTTTTTGTATCTGGTTTCTCTGTAACATTTTTCTTCTGTGGCCTTGCTTTCAAATGGATTTTCCCTTGGACGAACATGCTCCAAACTGAAAAGACACATGTGGATTTTCAGAAACAATAGCGATGATGGCAATTCCCCCCACACCCCCTGTCCTGGATGGGGTGGGAGGAACAACGAAGGCAACAGCCCGTGTTCGTATTCTGTAATGGAGAGGGAGCAGGGGCTGGGGGGAAGTAATGCCCGAAGAGTCCTGTCTTGGAGGAGCCACAAACCAACCGGCGTCCCTTGGAGGTCAAATCTGAGTTCCCTGCTGCCCCTTTAAGAGGGCTGTCAAACGCCCAGCCCTTTCAGAGACAGAGTGCCTCTCAGCGGCTGTTGCTTTTACTCCCAACTGCTTAGGCATGTCTTTGCCCTGGCCTTAGCCAGGACCCACATTAATCACCGCCTCTTTAAGAGCCCCTAATTAGGAACGTCTAGGTCTCAAAACCTGGCAATTTATTTCCGAGGGCCTGTCACTTTAAAGGGAGAGGCGGGGGGAGAGGATGGGGCCAGGGGAGCGTGGTGTCAAGGGTGGGGGGAACTACGAAGAAGAATGTTATCCCGATGGGTTGTCACTGCAGAGACAGGAAACGGATGGCCGAAGGGATCTGAGCCAGCCCAGGCTTTTCCCCTTTCCCTCCGTATCCCATCTAGGCTCCGATGGGGCTTGAGACCACGGACAGGGAAACGGCTGTCAGCTAGATGCATTCTCTGAAACCGTGTAGCCTCCACACCTTTCGCTGTAAAAAAAAGAGAGAGAGAGAGAATAAAAAAGCACAGCTAGTTGGGGGGAGAGCGCCCCTGAGGCCGTGGCGTGGTGTTGTCTGCATGCAAAGCCCCCTCCAGAGAGCGGTATGCCTGGGCTGGCAGCCCCCCGCTCCACTCCCCCCAGCATTGTGCTGACTGCGGCTATAAGTGTATATCCTGCCGATTGGCGTATCCTGTTCCCAGATCCCTGGCGCTTTATCCAGGGGTGAACAGGAAGGGCAGCCTGAGAAGGCTCAGGCGGAGGAGAGTGCACACGCAACCCAGGACTCTCAGCGAGGACCCAGGGTTCAGCAGAGGGGGAAGGAGGGTACCCTGGCTGAGAAGAATCAGGGAGAGAGGGTAAAGCGTCCCTATGCGCCAGCGCAGGAGAAGCCCCTTTGGGGGCCACCTCGGATGCCTCGCCCAGAGGGCGCTAGATCCAGGCTGCTTCTTCCGAGACATCTGGAGCTAGCTAGCGGGGATAGCAATATAGAAACTTTCCCCATTTTGGCACCCTGCAGTTCAGTTGATCTGTGAAGCAGTGGATAGCCTTGGGTGCGGGCCAGACAGATGGCCACTTTGTCGCCTTCCCTGACAAGGAAAGTATCCGTATGACCACTGTGCCTTTAAATGCCCTTTTAAAACCGCCTTTGTCACTGCAGAAAGTGGATTAAAATCCCTGCTCTTTCCACCACCATGCCCCGAAGAAAAGCAAAAGAGTGGCTAAGAACATATTCCCATGTCTTTTTACTCAGATGCAAGTCCTGTTCATTCCTAGGGCATTGTGCATAGGATGGTCCTGTACAATGCTCTTTAATAATTCTGATTTGTATTTTAAAAAGTAGCATGAAGAGTAGATTAGTTACAGATCTTGCTCTGTCAGTGACAAGTTGAGGTTGCAATAGAAATCTCCGCCATTCTCAATTCTCTCTCTAAAAAAACCTATCTGATTAGAATATAATAGGATAAGTAATATTTCCAAGTAGTTAACTCTGAACTGCTTTGGAAAAATGCCTGTAGAACCTAAGCTTGAAGTATTGTAATGCTGTTATGCCATTTGGGAACCTTTACGCTTGCTATGTTTTCTGACATGGGAAGGTGCAGAAAGGCAAATTACTATCAGTTTCCCAATTGCAGGTTTCACTTAATTCATATTTGTTGTTCTCTTTCTCTCCTCTCCAGCAGTGTGGGAGAGGTGAGTTTAAAATTATCATCAGAGACTGTTTATTTTAGGTATCCTCCACTATTTTTGCATGATGGAACCTGAGGCACTTCCTAAGCAAACACTCATCAGTTGTGTTCACATGGCATGCTTAACCAGAGCTCTTACATATCTAAACGCTGTATTCCTAAAACATCCTCAGCATGGTTAATTTTAACCTTGGTTAGATTTTGTGTGGTGTGAACCCAGTCCTTTTGGTTAGTTAATGGTTTGTTATAGGGTGCAAATCCAAAAAACTGGTTGATTAAGTAACCAGATTAAGCAAATTGTATTAACACAGCCATCCAGATACAGATCCACATCTGTTTAATGGGCTGAAATGATAGCTATAGCTAACTACGCTCAATCAACAAAAGGATGGTTTCCAAATCATGAGAATACTTCCACTTGATTCTGCAGTAGTCAAATTCTACCTTGAGTATTGTGGCTAGGAACAGGTTCAAAAAAATCTGACTCAGTGCGTGGAGAGGTCAAAACAAGCTCAGATGAAATACTTGTAAGATGGAGCGCTGCTTCCCAGTAATAGGTGGGATCAACCCCCACCCCCCACCCAAAGGAGTAGATCCATCATTTGGGTTCCTCCTAGACTTCTGATTTCTATTAGAGACAGTGTCTGGGGAGACTTTGCCCAGCTTTGGCTGGTGATTCAATTGCTGATTGGTTGGATTTATTTATTTGTGTGACATATATCCTGTCTTTTGTATGGGAGCTCAAAACAGTGTACATAGTGCACCTTTCTCCTATTTGGATCATAGGATGTCAGCCCTTCAAGGTAGATCAGACTAGGAAACCAAAGTTATGAATGCTAATACTACCTTTATCACAGTATAAGGTTACAGTAACAGAATCTTGCAAGACTAAATGTGCTTATCCTCACCCTTCCTTTATCTCTGTGAAAACTAGGGAGGGTCTTCCCTGAGACAATTTCTCAAATTACATTTCTGCTGCAGACTCAGATTTTTTTTATCTGACTGTTGTCTTAGTTGCAGCTCTTCCTCCTGTTCCTCAAGGTTATTTTTTCTTCCCATTGTGTACATCGGGCTACCTCTGAAAACAAATCATAAGCTTTAGTTGACCCTAAGTGCAGTGGCTTATCTGCTAGCCTTTGATAGCAGATACAGTTAGGTAAGGCTGGTGCTATAGTTGCTGTACTGGTTACTGTACTGAATTGTTTCTGGGTCCAGTTTAAAGTGCTGGTTATTACCTTTAACACCCCACATGACTTGGGGTACAAGCACCTGAAGGATCATCTCTGCTATTTGATTTGGCCTGTCCCACACATTCTTCTAGGGAGGGTTTGTTGAGGCTCCCCAACGCATTTGAGCTCAACAACACTCCTCAATATTGCCATCACACAGTGTAACATCTTGCCATGCAGAGTACAGAATGCCTTGAACCTCCTAGCTGTAGGAAGCTACTTAAGGTTGGATTGTCTTGCTTGAGCCTGCAAACATGGAATATGCTATGTCTAGGGTGGGGAGAAATCAAGAACCTCACAGGTTACTTTTAATGAGCTTTGTTCAGTCAGTGGATCCACACTATGAAATACGGGTTTTGTCCTGCTATTGGAGAAGCTCTGACCTTGGTTACTGTTCTACACTACAGAAAGTACAGCTCTGTTCGTTGGGTGAAGTGGGCTACAGCAGTTCTACCCATCCTCCTTTCCCGCCCTCTCCAACCTGTCTGTGGCTGTCTATCCAGGCCTTTGATTGGTCCTTCTGGTTTATTTCTGACTGAGCACCATTCTCAGAACAATTCTGTGATAGCCTCTTTGGGGTTGAAGAATTTACTGCATGGCTTAGAGGTTAGGGAGATGGCACAGGTGTAGAATCTGGAATCCTAAGCAGGTGATTATGCTGAAAAAGAGAAATAAAAGAGCATGGCATGGGAGAGTTGACAAAGGGTTGAATGGTTTTTCTGTTCTCCAAGGTGTAGCAATGGGAAAAGCTACACTTGCTAAAATTCTCCCTGAGGAGCACTGTTTAGAGTAGCCTCAAGGGTCAAGCAACACTAGAAGGATGGCAAAGTGACTAGGAGTCTGACATGAGAGACTGCTGCTTTTGGGCTGAGCTCTTTGCATGCAGACAATCCCAGTTTAAATTCCTAAGCTCTCCAGTTTCAAAAAAGGATCAGAGAGGTCATGGGAAAGATTATCTGGTTGAAATCCTGGAGAATTGCTGCTTGTTGGACAAATAGTCTGAGGTGGTCTAGAGTACAGTAATACTTTTAGGAGGAGAACAGAACACACCTTTGCTCACTCTCATACCACCCTACCCATGGCATGAACATATGCCAGTAACTGGTTTTTTAGGCCATGTCCTCATCAAGTTGTTTTTGTCTCATTCCCAGCCCAGCTGTTCCAGTTTTAAAGTAGTGTTTTCCCTCTTCTCCTGACACAATTTTTGTGATGGATATGCTCTGGCATGCTTCCTCAATGAAAGAATTGCTGATGGAGTGGGATATGTTCAGCCTCCATTGGCCCATTTAGGCTGCTGCGTTAGTTGGATAGAGCAAGCTAGGGCAGTCCTTCCACAGCCTGTCCTTTTCGGGCCCTTTCTCATCTAGTTGATGGAAACTGACCTACATGGCCATTTTGGCCAGGGCTACGAAAGAGATAAGAAATTTGACATCTGGAGAGGCACCTGCCCACAAAGTGCCTGACCGGCTCATGTCAAAGTGCCTTTCGGGTCTTACATGTTCTTTAAAAAACAAGGCCAACGCTGCACTAGTTCTGTGCTGCACAGAAGGTCAGTTCAAACTGGGAGAAGAACCAGGTTCTGCAGTTCTGTGCTGCTGGTTCTGTCATCATCATCAGGCACATTGCAGGTTCTCCGCTGCTTCTGGGAATAAGCGATTTTTTTTTTGTGGCTGTGCTTTTTACTGTTTTTATTAGTGGGGGTGGGAGTGGGGAGATGGGCACCACTTTACTTATTGCATTCTGGCTCCGAGCTCATCCGCAGCCTATATTGAGGTTCTGTTTGCCACAAGGGCAGAACTGAACTCATTGCCAACACTGCCATTTCCCTGCAGCTCATTGAGGATGGAGCTCGCTAGCTCATTATCAGTCACTCCCTCCTGCTTCATCCCATAACCCTTCTCTATGCCAGTTTCTGAGCACTGTCTAGGACTTTTTCCCCCCAGAAGTAGCCCGACAGACCACTTCTGTACCTGTTAGTTGGGCAACTTGACAGGTGGCTAAGCCTACCATTCCAGGCACCCACCCACACTTGCCCAAATCCACTCTTTCCCATATTAGGAAAAGCGATTAATGGTTGTTTTCATGCTGGCAGTGGGAAGGGAAAGTTGTCCCATTGGTACAATAAGGGCATCCCCAGTTGCCACCCTTGTTGCCACAGCAGATTCAGCCTCAGCAATCAGAGGAACCAATTTTATGCTGGTGTCATCAGAAAGACAGGCAGATTGCACATCAGCACAGCTGTCCGGCTGTTCCCTTAGAGCTTAACTACTATTGAAACTACCAACTGCTTTCATTGTCTAACTCTTTGTTGCTAGTTAGTGGTCACCCAGATTTTTACAGCCCAGATAGTCCTAAACAATGCAGTACAGCAGTTGAGGCTTAAGAGAGAAAGATAGCCTGCAGAAAAAAAGAGTTGGCAAACGGTCTGAAGATATTTTGTAGGAGGAACAGGCCACCTCGTGCCCTCCAGATGTTTTGGATTACAGCTCCCACAAGCCTTGCCAATCGCTGTGCTGGCTGGATCTGGTGGGAATTGAAGTTCAAAAGCATCCGCAGAATACTGGGTTGCCTTTCTTCTGCTTTTTCCATGCGTTTGCTTCAAAGATGTGAAAGATCTGGATGGTAGGCACTCCTCTGTCTCCTGGGGAAGAGAGAACTTAGAGGCTATCCAGCATTCCCATTTCTTCTGTTTGGCCTGAGAATGTCATGGCAACATTTCAGCCTTTAACCCTCCATGGTCTTTTCTGGAGATATGAATTAAAGCCTTACTTTTAAGGAATTGATATGGTCAGTTAAAAATATCCTTTGCCATCACTTTTGCGTTCTCTCCCCTTTCAGCTGTGAGGAATGACCGCAATAAGAAGAAAAAGGATGTGAAAGAGGAAGTGGTGGTGGACAGCTATGAAATGACACCTGAACTGGAAGAGCTCATCCAGAAGGTCAGCAAAGCGCATCAGGAAACCTTCCCATCTCTTTGCCAGTTGGGCAAATATACCACGGTAATGACTGTAACCTACTCCTTTGAGAATATAATGACTCTAAAGAGCAGGACACATTAGAAAGCACTGGGCCTTTCTAGCTTTGACTGAATCCACAGAATCGTATCTGAGTTGTGAGACTAAATGTTTTGTTTCATAGCATATTATGCTGGTGAGCTAAACCACAAATTAAAATCTCTGGGCTTGTGTGCGCCCCCTGCCCCCCATCCTTTGCTAAGCCACAAGGAGGAATTTAGAAGCTTTACTTCTGTCTTACACTACCACAACGTGCTTTGTCATCAGAAATCCGAACAAATCTGTTAATTTTAACTCTAGTTAGTTTGGAGCTTGATAAAGGTAGCCATGGAGATAGGACAATGAGCAGAGGAGCAGTTCAAAAGAAAAAAGAAAACCATATCCAAAGATCAAGCACTATTTCTTATCTGTCCAAGATTAGTCACTAATCTATACATGTGCATACATCCCATCATGCTGTTCCCTTTCAGGATAAGCAATGTTATGCAGAGCATACAAAAAGAGTAAGGAATAGTAAGTCAAATAAATTAAAAGCATATCCATACAGTGCTTCATACATAGTCCTTTGTTGTGTAAACTTCTCATCGTTTTCTTTCGGTGGATCTCAACAGTTCCATCCAACCAACTTTCTCAGTCTTCCTTTTTCTCTCACTACATTTTGCTCCCTTTATAAACTTGTTTTTGCAATTCCATCCATAATGTCGAAGGCTTTCACGGCCGGCATATGATGGCTGGTGTGGGTCTTCTGGGCTGTGTGGCCGTGTTCTGGAAGTTTTGTTTCCTAACGTTTCG